CAGGTAGCATATGAAAGGCACAACCTGGAGGATCAAAAAAACTCATTTCACTAGCAACTCTAAATAATTAGAAAAGCTGCTTCCAGACCACTTTTGGATCACTTAGCTTATGTTGAAGAACATAAACATTGGATGAATACCATTAACATTTTTGCCCCACATTTCTGGAACTTTTCTAGCCTCTATCAGGATAAATACCTGTCTAGTAGCACAGAGGAAATACAGGCAGTCCCCAGGTTACGTACAAGATAGGGACTGTAGGTTTGTTCTTAAGTTGAATTTGTATGTAAGTCGGAACTGGTACATATTGTAGGGGAAACTCTAGCCAAACATTTCTCCAGAGCTCACTTTTATTCTTCCACACCTCACCTCCCTCACTCCTTTATTCTCAAGCTGAGGTGTCTGCTGAGAAAAGCCGCTCCGCGTCTCCCTGGTCTGCTGGGGGGAAGCAGCTAGTGCGGGGTTGCCTCACCCCGTTTGTAAGTAGGGATCCGATGTAAGTCGGATCCATGTAACCCGGGGACTGCCTGTATCCTCCTTCCCCTCCTACAAATATTTTCAACAGTACCGTTGATTTAAATTCAGTATCCACATCCGCATCTGCAATAATAATCAGCAGATATCTGTATCAATGTTCGTGGATGCACATACCCATGGATATGAAGCAAATATCAACAAATCTGCAGGGTTCTAAATACAAAATTTATGTCCACAAAAATGAGCGGTGGATGCGGATACCTGAGGATGTAAAGTCGATACCTGCAGATTTGCAGGGCTCTATTTTGAAGTAGGAAAAGAGTTTCAAACTTTGGAATTAACTCTAGTTCTTTTTCAAGAAAGCAACTATATCATGGGTTCCCAAACTGGGGGGCATGAAGAAATTCCGGGGGGGGGGGGGGGCGGGGGGGACCCAACCCCTCCCCCCCCATCAAGTTTTGCTGCCCCAGTCAGTTCTTTTTCTTTTCTCAACAAGTTTTGCTGCTATTTGCGGGGGGTCGGGGGGAGGGCATGAGGATCTCTCAAAAATCAAAAAGGGGGTGTGATGCTGAAAAGTTTGGGAACCACTCAACTATAGGATTATGTTTTATAGGCAAAAGGTTAAGTACAGTATATTTGCATTTGTAATAAATCAAACATTACTCTATCTTTTATTTAAGCAACATGCCACTTGATCTGGTAACTTACTGTATCACTTCAGGAGAGGAGGACAGAGAATCAACAGAACTTACAAGCAGCTTTGTCAGTTGCATTCATATCAAATTTCCTTATTCCACTTTGAAACAGTAAGCCACAAAAGCTGCTTATGTTGACTTGCAAGCAGAATTTCCTAAATCATTTAGTTAAATAAAAAATTCTTGTTTTCAAAACTGTGTCCCCTCTCTGGGTTGCATGCTTTCCCCCCCAACAAACCAAATTAATACATATTCAATTATTTTAATGGCAGGGGTTCTTACTCTTGTGGACAACCTATATTTTACATAGATGAAAGGGACAAGAAAATGTATATACAAGATATTTGATTATGCATGATGTACATGCACAAGGCATTATTATTATTATTAAGTTTCAGGACAATATACTGTTTGAGATTCAGGACTAAGGGAGCTATCAAAAGCACTCTACAACCTTAATATATACAAAGCTAGAAAAAAATGTCACTCATGAATGACAAGACAAAGCCTGACAGCATGTACAACCTACTATTTATCAAGGTCCTGCCAAAATTTCCCTCCTAAAAATGGAACATTCTGCATGTCACATATATCACAGGGATGTTCATCCAATCAAGTAGAATACTGGTCTGTCCACAATATAGCAAAAGCAAAGCTTCAATCACTCAACAGCTGGTGAACTACTTACCAAAGGCAGACTCCCCCTGCTCCAGTTCTTGTTTCAGTCTGTTGTAATCTTCTTTAATTCTCTCTAATTTTCGGACATTTCTGGCACTCAGCACCAACAGCTCATTGAGAAGTCCCTCTAAGCCTTCTCTCTCAGATGTTAATGATCTGATTTCCTCTGCAAGATCCTTAGCAGTACAGAAATTACTTCCTGCAGATTCATTTGGAGGAAGGGTAAGAGAGAAGGAAGCAAACATTTGCAACATAAGTAGATTGCACTAAAAACACGGGAAATTAAGCAACTGAACACCCAAGCAGAAGCTAAAACAACAGCAATAAAAGACAGGAAAAACTTGCATTTTGCTTACATTTTCTGTTCCACTAACTCCTGTAGGAATGGTTCTTAATAACCCACGGGAACAAGATGTGCCAAATTATGGTTAACCTGTACTCATTATACACAGAAAACATTCCTTTTTATTTTTTAATAATTTTTGACATTTGTGGGGAAAATCCAAGTCTAAAATTTAAGTTTAAGAAAATTTCAAATTTGTAATTCATGGGTCACTACCTTGTAGTCTATCTGATAATCATCAAGTTTTGTAGCATTCCTGAACTCATAATTATACAATGTTATAGTGCATTTATATGTGTGCCATCAATCTGTTAGATTCCACAAAATATATTTTTGCACAAAGATAAATGCCATATACCATTATTTCCTTAAATTTTTTTATGTACAGAACATATATATGGTATTTACCCATTAAATTAATATATTAAGAAAATGCTGAGGTTGTATGGTTAAGTGCTTAAAAACCAGGAAACTCCACTCCTTTCTCTCCCTGAAACATGTACTTTAGGAATCATGCAGGGTTCCTGATACGCTGATCTTATTTTGCCCTACGGTTCCTGAGCAGTGTGTGATTCCTGTGATTAAAGCACAGGACTGGGAGTCAGGAGTCCCCAGTTAAATTCCCAGCTCTACCTCTGGCTTGCCTGTGATATCCATTAGTCCTCAGCTTGTTTAAAAAGGCAAGGTAACAGCACTTCCCTACCTCACAAGGATAATTACATTCATGACACCAGAAAGTTGTATTTTTTTAGCTATATTAAAATTGTGCACGCCCCTACTGTGAATGCAGTTATCTACTATTTGTGAGTGAGCGAGCAAGTCTATCTCTCTGTTTGTTCATTCATGAACTCTTCCTGCAAGGTAAGACAGTAAGAGCTAGGATTACAGAATTTAATATGCAGCCTCCTCTTAACACAACTGAAAGCAAGGTAAGGGCTTGGTTGGAAGGGTGAGGGAGGGCCTGAAGCTCCCTCCTCCCCCACCTCCGTGCATACAGGGATGCGTAAAGCCATACAGAAAAGAGACAGAATCACCAGACAGGTGAAAGAGGCTTGCTTGGGGTACCACCACCACTCCGGTTCAGGACCGCCTGCCCCATCCCTGAGCCTCCCACCCCCAGGCACCCTTTAGGAAGGGCAGGGGAGGGGCTGCAGCTCCCCCCAACCATTCATTCTGGAGCACTGCTGACTGTTCCCCTTTGTCAGGCATCCAGGAGAAAGTGCACAGTTCCTCACTCTGGCTGAGGAGTACAGGGAGCAGATGAACCCAGAACTGCCCCAGTTGGAGGACACGCACCCCTCTTATGGCTGTGTCAGCTGAAGATGCAGTAGCCATGGAGAGGCACATCTCACCTGGCCCCAAGCTGCTGCAGTGAGAGGAGGCCTGGGGTTTCTTCTCTCCCCCTGACAGCCTGCATACTGAATCCCTCATCTCCTGCCCTACCCCAGAGCAAAGATTTAAAAAATGAAGAAAAACAAAAATTGGGTTAAGGACTAAAGCAATGTCAGGTAAATCTTCTAGTAGCAGTAAAAAGGAGCTTTCTACCATTAAAGCTATTCCTATACAGGAAGGGGGATAACCATGCCAGCATAAGTAATTTTTATAGAACTTTAACTGCATTCACTATAGGGATTTCACTGGTATAACTACTTCAATAAAAAAAAAATCACACACTTCTAACCAAAATAGTTATACTTGTAAAACATTTAAATGAAGATTAGCCATTAATGAGGGAAGGGCCTTGAAAGACAGATCTGTAAACAACATTTAGGAAATCTAACTCAATAAGCAGGGGCATTTCAAGGGTTCTGGATCAAACCCTGCTTCTAGAAATTAATGTAAAGTACATCCACTTTGAGTGTACATTATCCATCTACCACCTCACAAAAGAGGCACCCCAAACTGTAACAGCTCCATCTGTGGTCTATATACCAAAATGCCATACATAATTTTGGTTGAGGTTGAAAAGTAGAGTTAAATTACATGACAAATCATTTTCTAAGGTAAACAGCTTTTTTTCCCCTTTAAGAAATATCCTAAAGCACCTATCCATAAGAACAAATAATCAGCAAAACATCAGCTTCAGACATAAATACAGTGTATTTAATTCAATAATGCATCAAAAGAACTCTCTATCCATCGTTTTACCCTTTTCTAAAATTTAAGAGACCAAACAACCTTCACTTTACTTATCAGAACTTCTACACTTCTGTTGCCTGGGTTAGATCCTGTATGCAAAATTTCAATCTACAGTGAATTTTTACAAATAAATTATTATAAATAACCACCAACAGGGAGGGTGAATAACTGTCATCCTCTCCTTTCATCTCCAGGCCACTATAAATGTTTTATAGATCTAATCTATGATTTGATTCCAGAGGGATGAGAAGGAGAGAATGAGGACAAATAAGGGAACTCTTAAGATGACACATAATATTGGATGAATAGCAAATATTCAGATGTTTTGGTGTCAGCTTTTCTGCCTTAGAGACAATGGTCTCTCCAAAGAAAATGGAGCTCATTACGAGCCTTAGTGCACAAGATCCTTAACGAAACATGAAAAAGAAGAGATTCTTAATTAAAATCTGCAGCCTTCTTTATACTTTTGAAAAAAAAAGCTAGGAAGAAGGTATGGTACTATACATGAAAGTTTTATATATACTGAATGATTATGAATTCACATAGGGGAGATTAATATAAAAACTCAGGCTATGATGAAAAGGCATCAGATATTTGCCCATAAGGCAAATCTCCCTGATGTAGCTTTTCCTGACAGCAGAAATATGCCCATAAGTCTGTGATGAAAAATGAGAAAAGCATATACAGACTTCTGCAGCACCTCCCGAGAGTACTACCAGTGATCTTCTGACCACAATTACAGTAACTATAATAGGCACTTTCTAAATGCCGCAAGAATGTTGATTTTCAAAATTATATCTATACCCTAGCTGCCAACATTACAAAAAATGTCCTGCTTTTTAGAAACCAAAAGTCACTTTGGTTACTACAGAAATATCCTTTAAACATCTGTCAAAATATTTCATTTTGTAAATATCATAAATTTAATAAAACACTTCATTTTGATGACAAAATAATTATTGTACCTAAACCTAGTACAATAATTTATCACTTCCCAGCATACATGGAGTTAAATTTTACAGCCATGCCGCTGTTGACAGTGGTCTTTTGGATCTCACTAAAGAGACTGGGGAATAGGCAACCATGCCCAATGGTTAGAATCAGGAACCTTGAACTGGAGCAAGACTCAGGGCTAGGATCATAGTCAGGTGTCATGCCAAGGTTCATTGCTGGAGACAGACTTAGGAGCCAAACCAAGAGTCATAGGGCAGGGCACAGGAGCAGAAACTGGAGTGAGGTAGGAAAGCAGGAACGATGAACTGACAAAGGAGGCCAGAACCAGGAACAGGTGAGAAGGCAGGGTTCAGGAGAGGGGCAAATAGGCACATTCATAATAGCCAGGGATTCACCAAGTTGCTCAATCAACTTCCTGTACCTCTCTCCATGTTAAGCAGTATATGCCAGCTAATCAGTAGGACTGAATGTCTCCCTGATCCTTTGTAATATACCAATGTTCCTTTTACAATGTGCACACAAAACAGATGTTTGCAGAAGCCTGAGCAATGTTATTCTGAGCTGGCTGACGGTGCACTTGAGGAGCATGCTAGTGAAAGCACTTTGTCTTCTATCCACCCAATCTGCCTGTTTATACTTTTAAACATTGCACGCAACAAGACCTCAAATTGTAGAGATCTCATCTGAGAGAGAGACCTTGCAACAGCACAATACAAGCCAAATACACAGGGAAGCCTTGGAACCTAATTTCATTTACAGGTTTGGGACCCATCACAAAGGTATGAATAAAGATAGTACCTGGTAAGCACACTACCTTCCACATCCTAATGACTTAACCAACCAAATAATGGGTACTTGAATAATTTGCACCTTCTCACCCACCCTTTTTTCCCTTCCTTCTCTCTCCCTGCCCCCATCCCATATTTATTTTGAAACTGGACCTTTAATACTCCAGTCATCTGAAGAAGTGGGTTGTGCCCACAAAAGCTCACGATACCATCTACATGTTTTGTTAGTCTTTAAGGTGCTGTTAGACTATTCATTGTATTTTTAATTTTTCCAGTTACAGACTAACTCAGCTACCCCTCTGAAGCTCTAATAACATGTTAGGGAATTTGTTCAGTGTAGACAAGGGATGTGAAGGTTTAACCAGTAAGTGTCACTCTTAATTGGTGAGGCTAGAGCAGCTTCCTGCCTGCTATGGGCAGGGTGCTGCTCCATCCCCACAGGGGGTCTGCCATGGACAGAAGCTGCTCCAGCAGAGCCCCTACCTATGTTGACCCAGGTGCCCCTTTACAGAAACCATGCTGAATTTCCCCCAACAATTTATGTTAGTCTATGTGTCTAACAATTCTGTTCTTTACTATAGTTTTAACTATAGGCAGTCCCCGAGTTACGCGGATCCGACTTATGTCAGATCCACAGTTACGAACGGGGTTTGCTCCGCGTTTCCCTGGTCTGCTGGTCTGCTGGAGACTAGCAGACCAGGGAGATGGGGAGCAAAGCCTCTGAGGACACTGGCAGCGGGACAGCCGCGGCACGTCTGGGCTGTCCCGCTGCCCGCGGTGCTCCGCGGCTTTGCTCCGCATCTCCCTGGTCATCAGATTAGGCTATAATGCAGAAGGGAAACTACTCAATTTGTATGATATTTTACCTCTCTCCAGCAGAGTGGCTATTACTTATTTCAGGGATGGGCAACCTAGGCTAGTGAGTGGACCACGAGTGACCCTCCTTTATCTCAGTGGGATGCAAGATTGACATAT